AGCAGCAGCAGCAGCAGTAGTAGTAGTAGTAGCAGGAGTAGGAGTCGGAGTAGTAGTCGTCGTCGTGGTAGTATTAGTAGTAGTAGTAGTAGTAGTAGTAGTATAGTCATTGACTGGCTGGGGCTGCGGCTGCGAACCTACCACCACCAGCTCTAGTACTGTTACCGTGTTTGTTGTGTCTGCTTTACTTCTTGCGCTGGTTCGTTGCTGTCTCAGCTACTCATTTGGGGTCGCTCATAGCTCGGAGTACGCCTATAGGCCCTGCCCTATGACATAGGCCCAATGAGCGGTAAACTGTTACATAAACCCGCAGCTTTGAACCCCTATGAACCCCTCACTCCTTTCGACACCATAGACCCTTTCCACTACAAACCTGAAGCCCTAGCACGCGGTATCAAACCCTCAAGGCCCCATATCATAGGCTTCTACTCCCAGCCTAGTAACAACGGACCCAACATCCCAAGAAAGCAAGCCCTAAATCCAAACGCCACCACTGTATCAAACCCTGTAAGCCCAGTAAACCATAGCCCTTTTGAACCTCAAGCTCCGCTAAGTAACAAGACATCCACCACGGATTAAATGCTTCAAGGGTAGTATGGTATCTACATGTACTAGTTCTATTCTTCTTGTGATCATGATGCTGGTAATGGTAACGATGGTAATGATGTTGATGATGGAGGGCGAGGAAGAGGATCAGACGTAGTAGTACTCTATTGCTAGTTTGTCAATACTCGTTTGTATTATTGTTGTTATTGTCGTGCTTCTATGTTGTTGTGTCATGGTTTGTTGTATCGTATTGTATTGTGGGATATGGCATTTTATTGTGTTGCATTGTATCATTATTGTTGCTATCATTATTTTCCGTGCTGCAACTACTATACATAATTACAATTGTTGTTAGTGTTACCCATATTGCGATTATTGTTTTTCTCTTTATTCCATACTGAACCAGCCCAGGCTGTTGCTGACAGCACAGAAGCGCAACTTGCACAAGCCTCTCCTGGTGTTCTTGGAGGTCGGCTTACGGCTCAGTTTAGGGTTTAGGGTTTAGGCTCAGTCATATACGATTTGATTCATCTTTCCCCTGCTCTCCCACAGGATTCGGACTTCGAGAGTGCAATCCACAGCACGCGGGTCTTTTGCCGCCCGCCGTACATGGTAAAGATCGCTGTCAGAGGCGCCCCCTGGGTTTAGGCTCCGGGGGTTTGGGGTTTAGGGTTTTGGGTTTAGGGTTTAGGGTTTAGGGTTTAGGGTTTAGGGTTTAGGGGTTTAGGGTTTAGGGGTTCAGGGGCGACGGTGAGGCTCACG